GGTATTTTGTGTCTGCCAAAATTATTGACATACTTTTGAATAAGCAAAACACCAAATGTTACAATAATTATTGCTGAAAAACCTGCTTTATGGTAATCCATTTATATATTAAATCATATTGGGAAGTTCAATCTTTATTATGCCCCCCTTCGAAGAAGGGAGGGCATATTGCTTTGCTGCTGTCTGTCGGTCGGTCTGTCAGTGCCACTTAGTTTCCGTTCATTTTCTTCCGTTACCGTTGCACATACTGAAATGAAATTTGGTATACAGATATATCACATGAATATCTAGGCCAAGTTCTGTGTTGGGTATGATCGCGCCATTTTTGACAGAGTTATGCCATGTTGGACTTAGAAAAATTCCAATTATTTGCAGTTTCCGTTCATTTTCTTTACAACCGTTGCACATACTGAGATGAAATTTAGTATACAGATATATTACATAAATATCTAGGACAAGTTCTGTTTTGGTATGTTTGCGCCATTTTTGACAGAGTTATGCCCCTTGGACTTAGAAAAATTCAAATTGTTTGCAGTTTCCGTTCATTTTCTTCACAACTGTTCCACTTACTGAAATGAAATTTGGTATACAGATATATCACTTGAATATCTAGGACAAGTTCTGTTTTGGGTATGATCGCACTATTTTTCACAGAGTTATGCCCCTTGGACTTAGAAAAATTTCAATTATTTGCAGTTTCCGTTAATTTTCTTTGAACCGTTGCACATACTGAGATGAAATTTAGTACACTGATTTATCAGATGAATATCTAGGTCAAGTTCTGTTTTGGGTATAATTGCACAATTTTTCACAGAGTTATGCCCCTTGGACTTAAAAAAATTTCAATTATTTGCAGTTTCCTTTCATTTTCTTTGCAACCATTGCACATACTGAAATGAAATTTTGTATACAGATATATCACATTAATATCTAGGTCAAGTTCTGTTTTAGGTATGATTGCACCATTTTTGACAGAGTTATGCCCCTTGGACTTGGAAAAATTCCAATTTGGGGGGAGGGGGGCATAAGTGTTTTACAAACATCTCTTGTTACTGCACAGTTTAATTATACTATTACTTGAGACTATTTATATGTCTTGATATTTAAAAATCACATAGCCTTCCTAAATGTACATGCATTTACTAGTAACAATAGTTTTTATTATGCCCCACCATGCGTTTGGCCGGGGCATATAGTGTTTGTCATGTCTGTCTTCTGTCCTTCTGTCCTTTCATCCTTCCGTCTGTCTTTCAGTTGCACTTTGCATTTAGCTCTGTTCAAAGCAAAATTTCAAAGAAACTATCCAAGATATTTTCATCAAACTTCAAATCAAACTTATCAAACTTTATATGCTGATAGATATTGATGAGAGCTATGCAACTGCATCAACATTTTTTTTCCTTTCCTTTGACCTTGACCTTACTTTTCTTAAATTAGTGTTTTGCTGAGTCTTAAACATGCCATTTAAGATGGCGTTATCAAACTTCACATGTTGATACTGATAACCCTAACAGAAATTTCTGATAAGTGACTTATAAGTGATTTATTTTTTTATTTATAGGTTGTTTATTTGGACTTACACTTCACTGGTACATTTAACTTATAAGTGACTAATAAGTTGCTCATTAGGATTTTATATGCAAATGAGCTACTTGACCTATATGTGAATTATAAGCCAGTATTAGCCACTTATGTTTTATGCAAGTATAGTCACTTATAAGTGACTACAAGTGACTTATAAGTCAAGCATTAACCCTTCATACTTTATCAAGTATTAGTCATCTATAAGTCACTTATAAGTGAAGTATAACACTACCTGTAAGATCTTAATTTAAAACAGAATTTCCTGTAACCATGCAGGGGTTGCATGATATGTTCAAAGCTATTTTTTACATATACACATGTATCTGCACTTTATGGAAAAAAATCACTTTCATATGACATTTCTTTGAAGATGCAAACTTAACATATCAATTCAGTTTACAAACAAAAATGTTGAACCAAAAATGCAACAAGATTTAATGACCTTGATTATGAAATCTGAAAACAACTGAGTCAATTGATTAAAAATTTCAGGCAAAGGAAGTTAAAATAGAGAGATGATGTAAATAGAACCTACTTGTTGTACCTGATGTGAAGGCATACTCAAAATAAATCTAAAATCTGTAACATCCTTTCACAGACACAAACTTGGTTTCAAATTCTTGTTGCTGATCTCTGCAGAGACAAACTTTCTGATTGGCTACCTGAATCCCATAATGCTCCTTGAGAGAAGTCTAGTATATGGTAAAAATTATAAGTCCACACTTATACTTCGCTCATACCATACGGATCTTCACTTATAAGTGAGGTATAAGTGAAATATTCACTGATATGTAGCTCATCTTTACTTATAAATGAAATATTAACGAAATCCATTCCTCACTTATACAGTGAAATATCAGTATCTCGAATTTCGGGGGACTCGGAAAAAACTTCGAGATATCCGGGGGTTCGAGATATCCGAAGTCATCTTGCAATTTTGATTTTGAATCGGTAAATTTCATTATGCTCGTATTATGTGTTAACCAATGAGCCATGTATTACCGTAATATCAATCAAGTGTGATGTAAAGTCTCAAGCATACTTTAAATAAACAAAAGAATAGTTTTCTTCTTTTTATCACGTAAAATCTTATTGTAATGAATAAAAATAAATAAATACATGTATCTTACTGATTTTATCGAAAATACGGCAACTTTGCGTAATCCATACCATGCTTACAAACTTAAACCGGATGTAACACTTGCGTTAGAGTCAAGAACCATTTACGTAAGAAAAGAAAAAGACGGATTTTTTTTTATTTATAGTTTATTGAATATTCACTTCAAAATATAATCTAGCACTACAAAATTATACAGTATGTGTACATTGTATATTATTAAACGCTTGTTATATATGAGCACTACTATAAAAATAGAACATAACATTTACGAATAATAAACAATGAAAACGGCACATGTTTATACAAAGATCAGCACTAAGATAAACTTGGAAACAGTCGCACAGTCAATCACATAAACACATTACATATTCCTGTCACTATCACTGTCACCAAAAAACTGTGTAATACAGGACTGCTGCAGCATAGACGATGATCTGTGTTCTTCAATCACAAGTCGGCGGTCGATTTTCTGGAGGCCGGGGAAAAGGTCTTCTGCGTTGTCCGACATCTCAGCCCAGGTTTGTATGAGTTCATATGCGGCACGGACTTCAGGGGTGGGGGGTTTCTTCTTGGGTGGCTCGGGCTCATTTTCTTCCTCACTTTCTTCTTTCTCTTCGTTTTTCGTCGCCTTGATACTCTCTACGATGTCTGCATCTGTCGTTGATTCTGCTGTGTTGACATTCTCGTCGACCTGTGCGTAATCTTCAAAGGGCACACGGAGGCGAAGGGCGGCTAGGGGGATGTCATCTTCTGGATCTTCTTCTTCTTCATCTGGTGTGTTTTCTGGCTCATTGATGACAAATTTGGCATGTCGAAAGCAGTTCTTGATGGTTTTCTCTGTGACTTTGTTCCAGGCGTTGTTGAGCATTCTGAGGGCGTCTAGGACCGATATCTGTAACTCTGTCTTCTTCTCTATTGACTGAAGTTGTTTCAGAATGACTTGCTTTCTGTAGTGGACTTTCAGGTTCTGTATGATTCCTTGATCCATGGGCTGTGTCTTGCTTGTGGTGTTCGGTGGCAGGAAAAACAGGCGGATGGCTTTAAGACCGTCGACTTTGGGGTGTGCTGGACAGTTGTCGACGATCATGGCAACTTAGCGCAAACCATGACAGTTAAACGCTCTTTGCTGTTCTTGCCACCACATCAGCAAAGAGCGTTTAACTGTCATGGTTTGCGCTAATATGGCGGGTAATGAAAAGATACCACTTCTCGTAATCGGGAAATCAAAAAACCCGCGATGTTTTAAAAACATCAAAACACTGCCTACGTCTTACGAGGCAAACAAAAAACCCTGGATAACATCTGAGCTTTTTACAGCCTGGCTGAGAAAACTGGACAGACGTTTTCAGCACCAGAGACGCAAAGTTGCCATGATTAACTGCAAACCATGACAGTTAAAGCCATCCGCTCTTTACTGTTCTTGCCACCGAACACCACAAGCTTTAAACTCGAGAGTTTTGTCGGGGAGTAGACGAAAAAACAGTCCAGTTTCATCGGCATTGAAGATGTCACTGTGACTGTATTCGCCTAAGAGGGTCTGAAGAGTGGAAGACCACTCTGTCATTTGATCAGTGCCCTCATTTACGGCCTTTGATTCGCCGCACACACGTTTAAATGTTATGTTATGGCGCTCTTTGAAGCGCTCGAGCCACCCAGTGGTACACTTGAACTCATCGCCAAGCTGAGAAGCGAACTCCTGTGCTTTAGCGATGAGAAGGGGCCCGGACACTGGAACGTTCTGGTCTCTGGCTGTCTTGAACCATTGTAGAACTGCTTGGTCTGTATCTTTGTAGGTCGCCGTTCTCATCTTCTTCCTCTGTGGTCCGAATGCGCTCTGTTCGTAGGCCTCTTTGATCTTCTCGGCATTCTTGATCCACGTTGATAGGGTGTTGGGGGGGGGATCTCATACTTCTTCGCAATGGCCGCTTTACTCTCTCTTCCTTTTTCAACATCAGCGATGGCTTGAAACTTTGTTTCAATCGTATGGGTCTTTAGTTTTCTCTTGAGAGCAGGTCTGGAATTCTTCTCTGTACTGTCTTGAGACATCTTGTTGAATGACGAAAAATTATTTTACGTCCTGTTTTATAGCCGACTAACATTATAATTTTTTAATTCAAGTTCACTTTGAAGAATCCCTGTGTTTTTTGAATTTCTAATTTTAATCATTTAGCGTGTATTATTAAATGCATTATCGGTAATACTGCTGTATTAATTTCAGAGTGGCTGTGAACTTGTTTATTTATTAATCGTAAACTACACCAAGCACCCAAGCTATTATCATGTCATAGATAACCCTCATAAGCTTGGGATTAATTAAGATACGCCAGGGTTTCGAAGGTGCTAATTAATTGCCACTGGCGAGAATGTGTGAAGTTACGACACCAGGTGCGTTCAGTAGACCGGAAAATTGACTGCACTTCGAGATAAGCCAGGTAAAATTTGGATTTGGGACCTTGAATACACTACTAGCGGGGTATTCGAGATTACCGTGTTCGAGATATCAGTAGTTTTTTTAATCATATATATAGAGAATACGGCCGGGACCGGCGATCGACTTCGACATAAGCGGGGTATTCGAGATATCCCATGTTCGAAATACAGATATTTATACTGGTTTACAAAAACTAAAGAAAATAAAAAGGTAAAAACATGTAACATTCTACCTGGAAAATTAAAGTACGTATTTTATTAGTTACTTTAAAAAAAGAGAAACTAAATAAATATAACATACAGTCTGGCGAGTTAAAATAAATAATTATAAAAAAAAGTATTTTTACAATTATAATAATAGATTTATACAGTACATTCACATGCTTTGCTTGTATGTACAATGTTTCGATTGATATCGAATAGCATCACACATTCGATCTTTCATCTCAATCGACAGATCAATATGCCATTTTGATGGTCGACGCGCTGATTGGTTAATTGCTAATCCTGATTAATAGCTCTGTAAAGAAATACCGAACGAGTGTTCGCTTTCTGGGACCGCTACTGAATTTGGGGTTTGCTCTCTGGGTCCGCTTCAGGTTCGCTCTGGGTCCGCTTCGGGTTGCTCGGGGTCTGCTAGGGGTTCGCTCGGGGTCAGCCCTAGCGGACTCCGAGCAAACCCGAAGCAGACCCAGAGAGCGATCCCGGGGTCTGCTCCGGGTTCGCTTTCTGTTAGGTTGTGTCCGGTCGATACTGTATATTGTTATTATAAACAATTATTATATATTTATTATGAGCAATTGTGCTTCTTCCAAAATTGTGAAATTCATGGCCATTGGGTCAGGCGTTCTGGTGTAAGGGGGGGGGCTCTATTGATTATATAATGATAATTCATACATTTGAAAATTTTCACCTCTGCTCCTTCATAGAATAAAACTCAAGTTATAGTTATGTGCAATGCATTTCCAAAATTGTAAATTTCATGGCCCCTTGGTCAGGGGTGCTGTTGTTAGGGCGGGGCTCTAATGATTATGTAGTGAAAATGCATGAATTCTTTGAAAATCTTTTCTTTTGCTCCTGGGTATTATGCGAATGAGGTAAGTACATGTACCTATTTATGATGAAGAAAGGTGTCTCTTTCAAAATGATAAATCTCAGGGCCCTTCAGGCCAGGGGTACTAATAGGGAGGGGGGTTACATATTCTGTAAAAATTAAATTAAATCTTTGAAATCTGCTTTTTGGTATTATTCAACCATTTATGATGATTATTAGAGCGAAGATGTGTTTTTGAAAAATTTGAAATATGTGACCCAGGGTCAGTGGTTCCTGTTGGATGGGGTGCACTACTAATTATGTTCCCCAAACGAAGTTTGGGAACATATTGTTTTTACTTTTTCTGAATTTTCTTCTTTGTTCTCCGGTACTTTTTTGTCCGCGAGTGTTCTCGTAAACTACTCATCCGATCTAGGTGAAACCTTTTTAGGGTCACTAGTTATATTATGTAGATGTGCAGAACGAAGGTCATTTTGCGCGCATGTGCGTGCGTGTGCGCACACGTGTAACACGTGAAATGACCAATATAATAGATATAGCCGATACTTTTATAAATTTGGATGAAATGCTTTGAAACTCAAAAAAGAAGGATATACTAGTAGTATAGACATGACGACTTGGTCAAAATAGCAAGATCTCGCGCGCATGCACATGCGCTTTGCTCCGATTGGCTGAAACTAAAGTCTAAATATATTTTTTGTTTTCTGACAAAATCCTGTGAAATTTTGAACATATTCATACATTATGAAGATCTACAGCATGATGTAACAATTTTCATGAAAGCATGCACATGCACGTGTGCTGCAATCCGATTGGCTGAAACTTTAAATGTCTATAACTTTCTAAATTCTCAATGAAACGGGATAACAAAAGAAATTCAGAATATGAATAGGTAAAATAGATTTCTACATTATGCTACTAACAAAAGTAAATGCAAGGACGTACATGCACATGCGCGCGCATAATGCGTTAAACGACCAGTATACTTGAGTTTTTGATGTTCTTGCAAAATTAAGAACTTCTAAATGTCAAGACATGTAACACACTGAAGCAGATCTCTTGACCCTTGACTTTGAAACTTAGGTCAAGGTCACTGGTAACCTGAATAAAATGTTGATATTAGCTATTTACCAAAATCACTTTGACCTATGAACTTGAAATCGACCTTAACCTTTTCCTTGACCCAAGTGTAAAAAGAAACATGAAGTACATGTACATGTATCTAGAAACACCTTTCAGAGTTTATTTCGGTTGACAGGATAGAAGTTAGAGAGGTGGTGGTTTTTAATGACCTTGACCTTTCATCCAAATGTCACAATCAATCTCAAGTTCTTTGAGTAAGAGACAAGATTCAACTCCAACGTTAAATAAGTTAAGGATAAAAGCAACCCCCTCCCCCCCCCCCCCCCTGCAACAACCAAACAAATCAAATTAATGGTAACATAGAGAATCGCTGTTAAACTCAAATAACACCTCAGACCCACATAAAAATTCAGGAAAACTGCAGAAAAGAGCTCGAGGAAGTGTATTAAAATATTTGATTTGAGTTTCCAAAGTATATAGAAATTATTAATTTATACGGAAAAAATTACAAATTCTGTCATGTTTAAAATTAAAGTGCAGATGAACAAAGTTGGTATATAAGCCTTTTATAGCCTATTTATTCAGAAGTCGTTGATAGCACTCAATTCTACTGATTTGAAATAATATTTTAATACCAAGCATCCTTTGTTTATTTTACCTTTGAAATTTATTTGAATTTTTTTTAGAATTTTGCAATCCCCAGAAATAGCGATTTTCGGTATATTAACAAGATGTGTTTGTAAAACACTGATGCCCCCGTATGGCAACATATCAAAGAATAAACTTTTCTTAAATGCAAATTTAATTAATTGGTACCAAAAGTAGGGTATTCTCACTGGAAAACAATTGTGAAATTTGAAAGTAAGTTAATGTTAAAGTTTTTTAATAAGTACAAAAATCTCCAAGGTCAAGGTCAAAAGGTCAATGTTATTAGTATCAAATGAAAGGTCTTGCCACATAAAATACTTATGTAGAGCATGAAAGCCCTAGCCCTAACGTTCAGAGGTTATGGTCATCGTTCAATTTCTTAAAAGAAGGTCAAACTCCAAGGTCAAGGTCAAAAGTCAAAGTTATTGTTATCAAATAAAAGGTCTTGTCATAAGGTTTAAATATGTAAAGTATGAAAGCACTAGCCCTAACTCTTTGAAAGTTATGGTCAAGGTTTGCTTTTTTAAAGTGGGTCAATATCAAAGGTCAAGGTCAAGTTCTTGGTATCTAATAAATGGTTTTCTCACAAGGATTACATATATGAAGTATGGAAGCCCTATCCCTTACCGTTCAAAAGTTATAGCCAAGGTTAAAGTTTTTTCACAAATACGGAAATCTACAAGGTCAAGGTCAAAGGGTCAAAGTTGTTGGTATCCAGTAAAAGGTCTTTTAACAAACATAACATATGTGAAGTATAAATGTCCTGGTGTATACTGTTCAAAAGATATGGCCAAAGTAAAATGTTAAAATTTTCATATAAAAGTCGGTCAAACTCCAAGGTCAAGGTCAAAAGGTCTGATTTGGTGGTACCCAAAAGGTCTTGTCATAAAGATTAAATATGTAAAGTATCTGAAAGCACTAGCCCTAATCTTTAAAAGTTATAGTCAAGGTTTGCTTTTTAGGTCACCTGAGTAAACTCAGGTGACCTATTGCTATCCGTTTTCGTCCGTCGTCGTGCGTCGTGCGTTGTGCGTTCGTGCGTTGTGCGTTAACATTTGAAGATTTTAAGCTTCTTCTCTGCAACCACTGAACTAATTTCAACCAAATTTGCCACAAAGCATCTATGGGTGAAGGGGAACAAAAATTGTGAATTTCATGATCCCTGCCCCCTGGGGCCTGAGGGGTGGGGCCAAAATCACTAAAATTAATGCAATCTTTAAAAATCTTCTTCTTTGCTCCTGGACATCAAGCAGTCAAACTGTTTACATGATTGTAATCAGCAATGAGTCCTCTACCAAAATTGTGAAATTCATGGCCCTGGGGTCAGGGGTTCTAGTGCTAGGGCGGGGCTAAGATGTAGGTAGTGAAAATGCATTATTTCTTTAAAAATCTTCTTTTCTGCTCCTGGGTATTAAATAAACTAATTAAGTACATAGTTATGATGAGCAACAGTGCCTCTACCAAAATTGTGAATTTTATGGCCCCAGGGTCAGGGGTTCTGGTGTTAGGTCGGGGCTCTATTGAATATATAGTGAAAATACATGAATTCTTTGAACATCTTCTTCTCTGCTCCTGGGTATTAAATAAACTAA